ATTTCCTAATACATTCTATTACATACAGTTCAAAGAAAACCCAATAAACAATAGTTCTAATCAACTGGAGTAAGAGATTAAGAAGCTCCTACTATTAATATTCAATAAAAATGTATCACATATAATGCTATATATAGATATATATATATATAAGTTGACTAGATCCAATAGCAATAATTTTATTCAACTGGAGTAGAGCCCATCGTCTTAGAAGCTTTCATATTTGAAGTGTCTTTGCTTATTCTTCTCTCCTGTATATAATTTTTTCTAAAATATCATCAGCTGATCTCTTACCACGACTACAATTTATCCAGAGTTTTTTTTTTTTGTTTTCATATCAACCGATTAACTGAATCCATGGCATCTTCTTCTTCTTCTTTCGCGAGTAATTCACAGTACTGTCCTCGATGGAAGTACGATGTTTTCCTAAGTTTTAGAGGTGAAGAAACTCGCAAAACGTTTACAGGGCACTTATATGAAGGCTTGAGAAACAGGGGAATATTCACGTTTCAAGATGATAAAAGGCTAGAGCATGGCGCATCCATCTCAGAAGAACTTTGTAAAGCTATCGAAGAGTCTCAAATTGTCGTCATCATTTTCTCAAAGAATTATGCTACATCGAGGTGGTGCTTGGATGAATTAGTGAAGATCATGGAATGCAAGACTCAATTTGGACAAACTGTCATACCGGTCTTCTATGATGTGGATCCATCACATGTTCGGAACCAAAGGGAGAGTTTTGCAGAAGCATTTTCCAAACATGAATCAAAGTTTAAGGATGATGTTGAGGGAATGCAGAAGGTACAAAGATGGAGGAGTGCTTTAACTGAAGCGGCAAATCTCAAAGGTTGTGATATTCGTAACAGGTGAGTTAAAACACATTAGCTGGAACAGAGGGAATACTTTGCATTCAAAATTGGATGCTTCTATGAAGACTAGCTGCACATATTGAACTATAGAACAAAGAATATATACCTCAAAAATGAGTCAAACAGAATCCTTAAAGAAAATTTTCATATTTTTTAAAAGAATATTGATGGTTGATTATATATGCTTCTATAAGTAAGAAGACATAGTTGTTATCAGTTTGATTTATGTGTCCTTTTTAGTTTTTATCATAATTATGCACTCTACGGTGTGAAACACTTCTTGTTATTGACTTTCTTACCTGTATATATCAACAATGTTTTTATTTTTTGTAGGATTGAATCAGACTGTGTTCAGCAGATCGTTGACCAAATTTCCAAGTTATGCAAGTTTTCTTTATCTTATTTGCAAGATATTGTAGGAATAAATCCACATTTAGAGGAAGTAAAATCCCTACTACAAATAGAAATCAATGATGTTCGGATTGTGGGGATCTGGGGCATGGGAGGAGTTGGTAAAACGACAATAGCAAGAGCCATTTTTGATACACTCTCGTATCAATTTGAAGTTACTTGCTTCCTGGCGGATGTTAAAGAAAACAAATGTGGAATGCATTCTTTGCAAAATATCCTTCTCTCAGAACTGTTAAGGGAAAACGCTAATTACGTGAATAATAAGGAGGACGGAAAGCACCTGATGGCTCGTAGACTTCGCTCTAAGAAGGTTTTAGTTGTGCTTGATGACATAGATCACAGAGACCATTTGGAGTACCTAGCAGGGGATCTTGGTTGGTTCGGCAATGGCAGTAGAATTATTGCAACAACAAGAGACAAGCATTTGATTGGGAAGAAGGATGCATTATATGAAGTGACTACACTAGCTGACCATGAAGCTATTCGATTGTTCAATCGATACGCTTTTAAGGAAGATGTTCCAGATGAGGTTTTTGAGAAGCTAACGCTGGAGGTAGTAAGTCATGCGAAAGGCCTTCCTTTAGCGCTGAAAGTGTGGGGTTCTTTCTTTCATAAGAGGAATATAACTGAGTGGAGAAGTGCTATACCGCAAATGAAAAAACACTCTAATTCAGAAATTGTTGACAAGCTCAAAATTAGTTATGATGGATTAGAGCCCGTGGAACAGGCGATATTTTTAGATATAGCATGCTTCTTACGAGGGAGAGAAAAGGATGAGATCATACAGATTCTTGAGAGCTGTGAATTTGGAGCTGATATCGGATTGCGTGTCCTAATTGATAAATCTCTTGTGTTCATCTCCGAAAAAGATACGATTGAAATGCATGATTTAATACAAGATATGGGTAAATATGTCGTGAACATGCAGAAGGATCCTGGAGAACGTAGCAGACTATGGCTCGCTGAAGATTTCGAAGAAGTGATGACCAACAATACGGTAAGTAGGCTAAACAATGCAATAATATTCAATTTCTAGTTCTTATATTCCAGAAATATATAGGGTGATTTCAAAATGTATGTTCCTCTTGCTTCATATTCTCGCACATAAGTCATTTTAGTTGTTTACTTTAGTAGGAGAAGCAAAAGTAACATTAATTGCCTAACACTGCCTGATTCGTCAAGTAGCCACTTTGATTAACACTGCATAATGTATTTTTCTTATGCTATTAAGCCATATTAGTCTAGTAGCCACTTAATCTGTTTGATCCGATTTCATTCTTTGGATTAACTTGATAAGTGTATGACATTTTAATATTTTATGACTGATTGATTATTTTTTATTTTAAATAACTGACAATTTATTGGTACTGTTTTTTCGTTCTATCAATGCATGAAATTTTTTAAAACTTGGTCTAAAGGACTTCTCAGAAAAAATAATTGTAGAATTAATTGCACAAAGTGTTTTTCTTAAGCAATGTAGCTCTTAAAGTTAAAGGAGACCTAACTGATATCGTACCTTAAAATTTTAAAATGGTGCTCGTCAAGAACTTCAAGTGCAATATTAAATAGTACAAACCACGATGAAATTTGGCAACTGGAGGAGTGAGAAAGTAGTCATACTGGCAAGCGAATTTTATATGACATTTGAAGTTATACTTTGTGGACTAAAAATCTTTTTACCAGGGGACCAAGGCAATGGAAGCAATCTGGTTTCGTTATTCTCAACGACTATACTTTAGCAAAGAGGCCATGAAAAATATGAAAAGGCTTAGGATATTCTACATACGTGCTCAGTACTTGAATTCGTGGATCCGTGATGACTTCAATTGCCATGATGGCCCCAATGAGTACCTGTCTAACAACTTGCGTTGGTTTGTCTGGGATCACTATCCTTGGGATTCATTGTCAACTAATTTTGAACCCAAAAGGCTTGTTCATCTTCAACTCTGGCGCAGTTCAGTGCATCATTTATGGACAGGGATAAAGGTACAATAGCTGAATTATTTATTTTTTTTCCTCTAACGTTTTCCTTTAATTCAGTGATATTGAGCATATATTATCGCTTTTGTCCTGTTTTATTTGAGATACTTACTATTTTGGCTTGTCCTAGAATTGTGATGCATGTCCTTAAAATGAAAAAAAATTGTTAATTCCAAATGCTCAAATTAATGTGTTATACATTATACTTTTTAGGAACACTAGCAACAATAATTAAAATTCAAGAGAGCAGAGGTCATTTAGGAAAAAAAATAACGAAATAGTTTCTTGATTCATAGATAGCTCACTACCATATTGATATGATAATTCTTTTATCTGGCTGTTCTTGTGTTTGCTATCTCTCATTCTTTTTTTTGTTTTGAATAGCATTTGCCGTATCTGCGAAAGCTAGATCTCAGGGAATCTAAAAGCCTGATGCGAACACCAGATTTTACGGGGATGCCAAATTTGGAGTATTTGGATCTGGAAAAATGCTCTAATCTTGAAGAGGTTCATCATTCCCTGGGATGTTCCAGAAGACTCATTGTCTTAAATTTGTATGAGTGTGGACGCCTTAAGAGGTTTCCATGTGTTAACATGGAATCTCTTGAATATCTGGGACTATATTGTTGCTATAGTTTAGAGAAATTTCCAGAAATCCACGGAAGAATGAAGCTGGAGTTAAAGCTTTACATGCAATACTCTGGGATAAGAGAAGTACCATCATCTATTACTCAGTGCCAAACTCACATTACCAAGCTAAATTTGAGCAAGTTAAGAGACATTGCAACTCTTCCAAGTAGCATTCGCATGTTGAAAAGCTTAGTGGAGCTAGATGTGTCGGATTGCTCAAAACTTGAAATCTTGCCAGAAGAGATAGGGGATTTAGAAAACTTGGAGAAGTTTGATGCTGCACGTACTTTAATTTCACGGCCTCCACCTTCCATTGTATGCTTGAACAAACTTAAATTGTTGTCTTTTGATCAAAGAGAATCAAAAGAAGGCCAAGTCGTGTATTTTGTGTTCCCTCCTGTGGCTGAAGGCTTACACTCATTGGAAATTTTGCATCTCAGTGACTCCAATCTAATAGATGGAGGACTTCCAGAAGACATCGGATGCTTATCCTCTTTGAAAAAGTTGTATCTTGGTTACAATAATTTTGAGCATTTGCCTCAAAGCATAGCCCAACTTGGTGCTCTTCAATTCTTGTACTTATCAGGTTGCAGTTTGCTTAAAGAGTTGCCAGATTTTATGGGGATGCCAAATTTGGAGAAGTTGGAGCTGTCATATTGTGAGAATCTTGAAGAGGTTCATCATTCCCTAGGATTTTTTAAAAAGCTCCGTAAATTATCATTGGATACTTGTGAACGGCTTAAGAGGTTTCCAGGTCTATGCATTGATTCTCTTGAATTTCTGTGGATACGGGGTTGCTCTAGTTTAGAAAAATTTCCAGAAATCCACGGAAGCATAAACTCTGAGTTAGAGATTCACATGCTAGACAATGTGATAAGAGATCTAGATTTGAGAGGTCTAGAAAACCTTGTAACACTTCCGAGCTGCATTTGTAAGTTTAAAAGCTTGGTGAAGCTAGATGTGTCAGATTGCTCAAAACTTGAAATCTTGCCAGAAGAGATAGGGGATTTAGAAAACTTGGAGTGGCTTGATGCCAGAGATACTATAATCTCACAACCTCCGCCTTCCATTATCCGATTGAACAAGCTTAAATTCTTGAGTTTTGCAAAACAAAAATCACAACTAGGCGTAGAAGATGAAGTGTACTTTGTGTTCCCTCCGGTGGCTCAAGGATTACGCTCATTGGAAATTCTGAATCTCAGTTACTGCAATCTAATAGATGGAGGACTTCCGGAAGACATAGGATGCTTATCCGCTTTGAAAGAGTTGAATCTCAGTGGAAATAATTTTGAGCATTTGCCTCGAAGCATAGCTGAATTTGGTGCTCTTCGATCCTTGGACTTAACAGAGTGCAAGAGTCTTACACAGCTTCCAGAACTTCCACCAGAATTAGATGCATTGCGTGCAGATTGTCATATGGCTCTGAAAAGTATTCATAATATAGCAACCAAGAAGAAGAAATTGCAGCAGGTGACATTCAAACCACTGTATGATAGCGATGATACGTACAATGATTCAATCTGTAATTTGTTTACCATTGTACATTCTGAGAAGAAGGTCCCAAGTTGGTTCCATTATCAGGGAACGGATAGAATTGTATCAGTCAATTTGCCTGAAAATTGGTACGTATGTGATAACTTCTTGGGATTTGTTGTATGTTACTTTGGCAGCGTAGTTGAAACCATAGCTCAATTGATTCTCTTGTGTGATGATGGGATGTTGTCGATGACCCAGAAACTTGCCTCACACGACTATTCAAGATCTGAAATGAAATCGATGATTCATTTTTTCTTTGTACCTCTTGCTGGCTTATGGGATACATCTAAGGCAAATGGAAAAACACCAAATGACTTTGGGCTCATTAGGCTATCTTTTTCTGGAGTAATGAAGGAGTATGGATTCCGCTTGTTGTATAAAGATGAACCTGAGCTTGAGGCCTTGTTACAAATGAGGGAAAATAACAATGAACCAACAGAACAATGCATTGGGATAAGGAGGAGCAGATATGACAATAGTGAACACCATGACTCTGTGACCAATAAAGCCAGTTCCTCCTCCTCTTCTAAGAAACAAAGGTCACATTTCTAATATTCGTTGGAGCTCTGTCTTTGAGAATCTGCAGCAACAAGTAGAGGGGCCACTCTTTTCAGAAACTTTGCAGCTCTTTCCTTCAAACCTTGGGTTTCAGCTTAAACACAGGTATATACCTCATGACTTGTTTTTTTTTTCTTTTCTAATAGTTGGTATTGAAATTGAGTTATATCTTTTTATGTAATTCTCTCCTCCTATTAGCTATACAAAAGTCTTCTTCCATAACTAATAAATTTTTCTTCTCATTCTTTATTCTTTTGTTATTTTTGTTTTCTTCTTTTCCCCGTCGATAGGAGTTCATCTATGGGTGATGTACATATCAACAATGAATTTTATCGATTGATTCTCCATCTTGTCTCCGCTTGTGCTGAGCCATGATTAACCACGTTGAGTTAAAGGATGTGAACAAGTTTAAACTTAGATACACAAATCAGATCCTGGAACCATGTGTTCTTACATCAATTCTTACCTTAAAGTACTCACAAACTCTAAATGGAAAGATAATACTATAAACTCACAAATCACTATGACAAAATGGAAAGATAAGAAAGTTTGACACAAGATAATATCCGAATTACAACCCTAATAATTCGGAGAACAGAAATGACAACAAAATAAATCATCAAAAGCTTCTCTCTTGCTAACCAAGGAACGAAGCGCCCTCCCAATTATCAAACCTGGCATCTTAGCCACTGAGCTTTGCATCAATATTGCCAAGACCATTACCAACTTCAATATCATCCACCTCAGTCAACAAGTTTCCAATAGGATTCGAGTGCTCCATGTCACTGTCCTCGATCATAATCAGATTTTCCTGAATCATCCTTTCTATTTCTCTTTTCAAATTACGACAGCTCTCAATGTTGTGCCCTCTGACATTGGAGTGGTATGCGCATCGTGCAGCAGGATCAAATCTTCTTGCACGTGGATCTAGAGTATGCGGGGAGCGGCTCAATCAGGCCAGCATGCCTTAGCCTTTTAAACAGACTTGCATAAGATACTCCGATAGGGGTGAGAGCCTTTCCTCGCTTCAGCAACCTCTTGTTCCTAAATGCTTGATTGGGTCGGAAACCTGATCCAGGGGGCTTCCGGTAGGCTTGTGAGAGTGGATAGGCCTTTTGTGGAGCTGGGTATTTGGAAAGTGAAGCATGTTTTTGGGAGTCTCGTGGAGAGAAGTAGTGTTGGGGAGGGGAGTAGCGTTGACGAGTGATGGAGCTACTCGGGTAGCTGGGAAAGCTGTTATAAGTGGGTTGGGATGGTGAGTGTGGGGGATCATCCGTTATGGTGTTGGGTGCTTGGGTAAGGACAGAGTTCAAGAAGCTTGGCGGTGGCGGGGGTGGTGATTTCCCAGTCATCCATGCCTGATACATGTCTGTCACATGTTGTCTCAGCATTTTCACTTCTTCTAACAACCTGTTGATCCGTTCGACCAGTTGTTGTCGCTCATTGGTACCGACCCACTCGATTCTGAAGTTCTGTATCATTGTCCTTTGACTTTGCTTAGAGGAGTTACCACAACCAACCACTTTTCTATATATGAACATAGCAAAGGGAAGCCATCACGTTAGTGTTAGGGCATTTGACAGATAATCATATATCAGAGATGCAATGCACCTAAGCAGTTAAACCGTTCTATCAGAGATGTAATGCACCCGCGCTTTCCTTTATTTTTCTTTTTTTTTATTATCACCCTTTTTCAGTGGTGGTTGAATCTTATGGAGACTGCCTACGTATCATGACCCCGCATGAATCAGACCTTGTGTAGTTCGGCCAATAAGAGATAAACAATAATAAACATTTTTTTTTTCAATTTTCATAACAAAACCAACTTTGATTACAATGGTTTAAAACACTGACAAAACTTAAACTCACAGACTCTGATGAAAAACGAGATACAGACTTGAAAGCCAAACAATCCACATACTCTAATCAAAAGAGTTGCAAAGTCAAAAACAAACGGCCAACTTCCTTTCCGTGTTTGTCCATTTCAACCAAATGGTTGTTTTTGCAAACGTGGCCCCTTCCTAATTTCACATAAATTTTGAGGCCGTGGAGGATTATTTTATGACACTTCACAAACTTGTCCGTTCTTTTACGAAAATAGCCTTTCGACAACTGAAAGATATTCTAAGGCTATCTCGGCAAGAATGGTTTAAGACATTGTCGAAGCTGGCTCGGCTTATTTTGACCAAAATCTAAACGGCAATCACTTTCCCACTGACTCTTTTTTTTCAAATTAAAATAAAAGACCTGATTTTGCGAACACGGCCTTTCAGCACCTCGGGGATGAAGATTTTAAGGCTGTGTTAGCTAACCGGCCAAAATCTACAAAATGACTAAAGGTGGTCGTTTATGCAAAGTCAGCCTTCCGACGTCCCTTTTCGGGAACATTCGGCTATTTTTTGGCAAAAACAGCATCACCGACTTACTTACGACTCTTTTCTCGTTTTTTTTTTTTTGAAAATAGAAAACTAGATATTTGCAAACACGGCCTTTCCGCGCCTCGGGGACAAAGATTCTAAGGCTGTGTGGGTCAATCGACCGAAAAATCTAAAAAATGACCAAAGGTGGCCGTTTATGCAAAGTCAGCCTTCCGGCGTCCCTTTCGGGAACATTCGGCTATATTGACAAAAGCGGCATCACCCGACTCATTTATGACATAACTTAAAATTGATATTTTTGCTATTTTAGAAAAGGGGAGGTTGGACCCGATGAGGGTTGCCTACGTATCTCACGCCCTGTGAGAATCAAACCGGCATAGTTCGGCCGAACAAGAATAAAAGAAATAAACTAACTTTTTCCGAATAAAATACTTACAAAGAAGAAAGAAAATATTTTTGGATTTCGATTTTTCTTGAGCATTTTTGCAAGGACTTCTAAAGAAGAAAGATTTTTTTTTTTTGAATTTTTTTTTTGGAGTTTCGAAAGAAAAACTTCTAAAGAAGAAAGAAAATATTTTTGGAATTTTACTTTCAATTTATGAAAGAAATGCTTCTAAAGAAGAAAATATTTTTGAATTTTGAATTTTCTTTTCAATTTTGAAGGAAGAATGAATTTTTTTTTTTATTTTTGGAAGAAAGAAAATATTTTTTATGTATATACATTTTTTTAAAAAAAAAAACAATTAGGTTCTAAAAGAAAGACTTTCTAAAGAAGCAAATAGTGGGAAATATTTTTGGATTTTTTTTTTTTGAAAATGGTGGGCCGGAACCGAAGAGGTTTACCTACGTATCTCATATCCGGTGAGAATCAGACCCGCGTAGTTCGGGCTATAAACTAACTAATTTTGAAAACAAACATATTTTTTTCCTTTTCTTTTATAGCAAAAAAAACTATTTTTCTTTTTCATTTTTTTTTCTTTCTTTTTTTTGAAAACAAAGCAATTTAAAATAAAAGACTCATTCCTACACACTTTCTGTTTTTTTTAGGCAAACAAACAATTTTAAAAGTAAAAATATATATATATTTTTTTCAAAATCTCGGCAGTGTTCTGATAGTACTTGGACACTGGTTTTTTCTAAATTAATCCTCTAACTCTCCACTTGTTATTTTTCTCTTTTTTTATTTTATTTTATTTTATTATTACTTCAATTTTTCAACATTCCCGAGATTCAGAAACCGGTCAACATGCAAGTTCGAAAAAAAATATATATACATAGCAAGTAGGATGCATCAGGATGGTCTTTTCATTTCGGGTTGCTAGCCCTAGACGGACTCAACCCCTGTGTTGAGTCCCCTAAGTCAAATGCAACGTGATGCAAATAAGCGTTCCTACTGGGGATCCGACATGAAGTTTTGTTATACTAGGTTTCAAACCTGGGTTTTTGTTCTAGACCTGGCTTACCCGAGCGGACAGCTCGAGCCGAGGGGGAGGCAGCAATCCGGGAATACAGAAGCTTCGCCGGCTCTGCAACTTATCCAAACCTCGTTCTAAATTGGGATTTGACACTATACAGAAAAGAAGTCGTACGAAGTACACCCTTCTTCATGATTTAGAAGACTCAGAGAGGAGATGGGTTTCGGCACAGTTTATATATAGTTCACAAAATATCAAAGCGGTAAAAGCAGTTAGTTAGCACATTATGTACAGATCATGTAATAAAATCAGATAAAACATAATATAACAATTTATCTAAGCTCGAATTTCTAACCCTGAACCAGTGGTTCTGGGTTATTCATCCCCAGCAGGGTCGCCAAAGCTGTCACACCTCCTTTTTCCGGCACCCGAGGGCGCAAGGGAGTTTTTCCATTTAAAGGACAATCGAAACGGGATTTGTTTATTTATTTCAGAGTCGCCACTTGGGAGATTTAGGGTGTCCCAAGTCACCAATTTAATCCCGAATCGAGGAAAAGAATGACTCTGTATTACAGTCCGCGAACCAGAAATTCGGATAAGGAATTCTGTTAACCCGGGAGAAGGTGTTAGGCATTCCCGAGTTTCGTGGTTCTAGCACGGTCGCTCAACTGTCATATTCGGCTTGTTTATCTGATTTTTATACAATTATGCGCTCATATGCAAGTTTTAACTTTTAGCCGCTTTTATTATTACTATTATTATTTTACAGGGAATTGCAACGTTGTGAAAATGTATCTCGAATCGCGTCACAATCAATGTACCCGTGGTCGTCGACACACTTTGACTCCGTTGAGATTTTGATTTGGGTCACATAAATGTGCACCCGAGTTTTAAGTAGGTAAGATTAATTAAATCGCGCCTAAAGAGTCTAGCGCGTTATTATCTTTGGGGAAGCAGTGAAATTCACTAAACAGTCCATCCCAAATTCTAAGTAATTTTAAAGCAAATGTTTACTGAGGGCCCCGCAATTTATATTTTTTGTTCGGCGATGCTCATCTCATTTATTTTAAATGGACTAATCCTAAAGCGACTACATTCTTTCTATTAAAATTAGTCTCTAAAATAAAGAAAGAAAAATCTAATTAATCATGAGCCTTAAAAAATAATAAAACATAACATACTAATTGCTAAATTAAGATAAATATTAATGGAAAGGAATTTTACTAAAGAAAATTAAAAAAAATCGAAATTGTAAAAAATTTACGAAAATTCGACAGCTAAACAAATTCAAAAGAAATCAATTATAGCTAGCTTAAAGCTTACATTGTAAGAAAAACTATTGGAATTAATTATTCAAAACCATCTAAAGCTAGATTTAACCATAATTACTAAAGCTTATTAAACTTAAACGTTGACTCANACCATCTAAAGTTAGATTTAACCATAATTATTAAAG